CGCCTCTGCGGATGTCTGGTTGACTGCCTGCTTTTGTCTGCAGTGTTCGTTTGCGCTTTTATTCGCCTATCTTTCTCTTTCTCCGGTTGAGTTTGTCTATCCATCTCTCTTTCTATACATCTATCTATCTATCTACTTGTCTATCTATCTACTTGTCTATGCATTTAGATTGATATAGATGTGTGTATGTGTGTGTTATTGTGTGGTAGACAAACCTCCGAGAGGCTGAAAAAGGCATGGGCGAAGTTGTTGCTTTCTCGCCGCTGGACCCGGAGATTTGGCGACCTCGCCTGGCGCGGTAACTCAGACGACAGGCTTGATTTTTTTCATGCGCCCAGTCTGGTGTATCCCAGGCTGTAATCTCTTGTCACCCGACCTCGTCTCTATTCTGTGTGTGTGTGTGTATGTGCATGTGTATATGTGCTTGTCTGCCTGGTGTCCAACTTGACCAACTGTCAGTCTGGCTGTCTGACTGATTGTCGGACGGCAGGAGAGCGTGTGTCGTGAGGCCGCTGGCCCGCTCCACCCGCAATCTGGTTCGCAGTCGGCCCAGGCCCCGGCGTGCCTCGTGGGCCAACTCGAATGTGCCCCGACCGCTACACAACCGCGTCGTGGCTCTCTGGCGCCACTCGGACGCGCACTCCCGCTTAGCAGGCTCTCTCTTTTAGGCACACACACACAAACAAACACATAAACATACACACATGCACGCACGCACGCACGCACGCACGCACATGCATCAACGCGCATACGTGCAGCATCGAGGCAAAGGCGTGAGTGTCAAATGGCCAAGTGATTTGTCATGCAATCGGGAGAAACCAGCCCAGTTGTTGGGCCTGTGCTTAGGCCGGGTCGGGTCGGGTCGAGTCGAGTCGAGTCGAGTCGAGTCGAGTCGTGTGGCGCAAGGTGCTCTGGGCCAGAGGGTAGCGATTTCAGACAAGCCCGTGCAAGTACAGCTCCACGGCCTGATCAATAGGCCCCGGCGATGGGAGAAAGTTGCGGCCCGTCTGACTGGCCCGCCCAGTTGAGCCTGCGGGCTGTGGTTAGGCGGCCTGATGACGATTCACCGCGTCAAGGCCTCATCCAGTCGGTTCGCCAGACGAGGCTGGCGTGTGATTCGGTAGACTTCAAGGTCATCCGCCAGCTGGCAGCCAATCGCAGCACGGATTGTCAAGGTCGGCTGAACGGCTTGACGTGCCGGACGCGCGGAGCTCGCCTCGCGCGGACGCTCGAGTTGGACGCGTCTCGTTGGCGGCCCTTTTTCGGTGCGGTCCCCTTTCAACGGTCCCTCTTGCTCAGCCGTTCTCCTCGCCCGCTGCTCGGCGCAATTCCACATGGCCGACATGACGTCAGCCAATGTTGGCATCGTTTTCATTACATTCAAACAAGTGAGTGGAGAGCATTGCTTCATTGTGAGTTGTGTTCAGCCTAATTCGTGGGCGGACGACGCAGACGACGCAGACGACGCAGACGACGCAGACGACGCAGACGACGCAGACGACGCAGACGACGCAGACGACTCAAACGACGCAGACGAAAAGCCAGACTCGAGGTGGCTTCAGCATTTCCGGTCGTCTTGAGGCGACACATTCGCAGCGTCCGCTACCCACTCAACCTGACTGGAGCGCTTTGGTCGTTGCTCTGGCAACTAATCACCTACCGCGACTTCGTCGCAGGCCATCAACGTCCGTCGACGTCTGCCTTTGCCACTGTGGCCATCTTCGTTGACACGCACTGCTTGTTGTACTTTCCTCCTTGTGTGTATGTATGTATGTGTGTGTGTGTTTGGTTTGAGCAATTGTCCGAACTGTGGCATGTGAAGGGAAACGGAGCCGGAGGTGCCCGAGCATTGCGTAAGACCGGAAGGCGGGTTTTCGTAAGATTCGCGGATTCGGCATCACTTCGAGCTGGTCCCTTCTCTGCGGTTGTCTGCTTAACTCTCGCGATTATCACTGTCCATGTATGTGTGTGTGTGTGTGCGTCTGCAGTTGCATGTGTCTGTGGGTAGAAAAAGAGGTGTCCACCTTTACTCGTCCGTGGAGGTGTTGAGTTTGTGCAAAAAATTGGCACATGCCCCAGCAACTGGATGTCATTGGATTGAACATCAACACGCAAATTGTCTGTCGCCACCCACTCAGCTGCCCATCCTCTCGCCTCCGCTCACCCGCGTTCTGTGGGTGACTGTGACTGTGACTGGTTGGCGGCCCGGGGGGGGGAGATAGGCAGCCAACTTTCGGTCGGTCGGTCGGTCGGTCGTTGAGTCGAATTGGCGGACAACTCAACGCTACCGACATACCAACAGACACATACAACCTGCCTCACTCTCCTTCCGCTTCTAGCCTTCTTTCTGAGTCAGTTTGCCCAATCAACCTACCCAGCTTCATATTTGTGCCGATTAAGCCTCGCATGCGCGTGCACTCATACACTCGCAGAGAGCCCGAAGCAAATGTGTGCTGGACTTTACCAAGGGCCTCTTGGCGCGATGTCATCGTTTTTATCCGCTCAACTTGTTTGCAGCCATCGGGCTGGCTAGTTGCCGGGCTCGGTTGGCATCTGAAGCACTCGCGCACGACCTGGACCCCCGAGGAGGAGATGAGTAGTCAGAGAAGCTTGGCCGACCGGGCCTGCACATTTTGGAAGAAATTTCATTATTTGTAGTTCACCTCGTCTCCTCCCTTCAAAGCCCGGCTCTCCTGAGTTTTTTCTCACCTGCTGCGGTGTCTACGGGCATGTGCACATGTGAACGAGTGTGTCCGGCTGTGCACT